AGAGGTTGGGGATGGCTGTTTTGTTCTTGGCTTTGTGTTTTGTTTAGGGTGGAGGTGGTTGTTGGGTCGAGTGAGCGGTGTGACAGTAGCAGAGTTTTTCTTGCTAGTGATAGTATGCTGTGGCAACTGGCAAATGTCGGTTCGCCTTCCTATTTCTAGTTCAAGTTGTCGCATTAATTTTGTTAAAATTTCATTTTAGTCTCATTATTTTAATAAAAAGCATTTTTTTAGTTTTTTATTTTAAAAAATCCTTTTTAATCTCTAAAACATATTATTCAACTCTTTTTTTTTTTGTTGTATCATTATTTTTTGCATATGTCATGTATTAAATTATAAAAATTTGAAAGTAAAAAGACTAAAAATGTTTTTTTTTTTTAAGTAGAGAGACTATAAATAAGCTTTTTTAAGTTCTTTTTTAATTTCTTTACTTAAAATTTTTTATTATCTAATAAGTCACATACACAAAAAATAACAAAAGAATTAAAAAGAAACCATATAATAAATTTTAAAAACAAAAAAAAAACCTTTTTTTAAGTAGAGAGATTAAAACTTTTTTTTATTAAAATAAATGGATCAAAATGAAATTTAAACCTATTAATTTAGACGTTCAAGGTATTTGATAAAATGTCCGAATGGGCTGAGATACCCATGGATTGTAAGTTGTCTAACAATATCTTTGGACTCATTACCAGTCAATATGCTTCGGCTTTTGCCCGGCCTTATATAATTTGTACTTTAACTTAGTGGTGGATTTATATATATAATCAATAAATTAGATCTTATCTAGTTGGTATGATATAAAAAATTAAACTAAAATCTAAACTTCTCATAAATTCAAATTTACAGTGTTTCTATCTTGAGGGAATAGAAGAAAGGATTAAATTAAAACATTCTGTGATTTTACGAGTGGACCCAAACAATTAAAACATTGTAGTTAATAATCCTAATGACTGGATTAATTAATAAATAAATGTTATTTTATAAATTAGATTTAAAGTTCAAATCAAAAAATTGAAATTTAAAAAAATTAAATACGCGAGACTGAAAAAAAAGAACACAATTAAGATTCCTCAAGAAGGGATTAGTCTAGATATGCTTAAAAATTAACTTAAAAACAACTTGATCATAAATACTAAAAACAGGAAAAAAAAAAACATTGTTGTTAACTATTGTTCAATATTTCATCTAAATTTTTTCAATAATTTTACACAATTCAAACTACAAAATATTATACTCAAACTAAAAGAATGTTTTATTTTATAATTTAAATTGTAAAATAAAAATGATTAAATGGGAATTAGAATCTAATATTAAAGTGCTTGTTTTCAAATTACAGAACTGTTCAATATCCTTTTTTAACTAAAAATATGTACTAGACCAAATAGTCTAAAAAACAAAAATAGAAACCCCGCCGAAGAAATAAATGAACAAAAAGAAAGAGAAAAATATAAAAGGAAAAAACGAGGAAAGGAAGCGAAATGCCGACGGAAATATAGCAGAGTCCATTTCCCGATCTGCACTTCTCTTCTGCACTTCCTGAATCGCCAGTTCGTGCTCCTCCATCTACTTAGTTCCGAAATTCATATTTTGACGGCTTTCCTCGTTTTCCCTTCAAATTTTACTTCCTTCCCCTGTCTCCTCGTTAATGGCGGACGGTTACTGGCGGTACGGCGAATCTCGGCAGCCGCCACCCTCATCGATGCCTTCCATCGTTGGAAAACGCCCTCGCACTGAGTATGGTAAATTCTGCTCCCCTTTCACCTTTTATGCTCCTTCAAGCTATATCTTTGTGTTGAATTAGGGTTTTTTTGGATGCCTTTTTTTTTTCTATCCCTTTGCTCGAGATTTCTAGGGGAAAAATAGAGGACTTTTGAGCTGAAATATGTATGTTTCTGGGTCTGTATGATTAATTGATTTTCATGTATTTGATTATATCTTTCTACCCATTTGTTAGTTCTTTTTTTTTTTTTTTTTCTCTAGCTCTAATTATTTAGTTGAAAATTGCTGGTTTTTTATTTTTTATTTTTTATTTTAATTTTATTATTCAATTGACATTTTCAAGTTATCTGCGTGCTTTGAATTTCTGAGGATATTCATGGTTTAAAGTCATTTTTGGCTGCATTTAGCAGGAGAATGTGGTAAACTGTTGAATCTTAGTATTTCTTGTGGTAAGAGAGATCTACAATTTGTTCAGGACGTACAAGAGGGAAATAGATGAATGGGGTATATAAATCTCTGTAATTGCACTAAATGGATTCTGTACATTGCTAATGAGTCATGAATGTTTGGGAAGTTTCTGAAAATGGTTAGTGTTTGTGACGAGCATTGTATGCTAAAGATCTGAGATATGTGGTGTTTCTGTTCCTTGACTTTATACTTAAGATGACATCGCTTTGCTGGATGCCCAATTTTCACAACTTAATTTTGACTTCAATGTTTGTTGGATTTCATTGTCATATGACATGCTAGTTTATTTAGTTTGTGGCCATTGGATGCCTTGGAGACAGATTTCTTGATTCATGTTAGTACCTCTTTTCTCTTTTTTGTATGAGCCATTTAGTGTGATTTTACCTTTACATAATAGTTTTAGGATGTTGCTTGCTCTTTTCCTACTCTGTTATTTTGACATTTTAAAGCCTTGCTTCCTGAAGTATGTGCTTTACTTGTAGATCTCCCTGGTGGCCCTGATCTCCCTGGGTACTATTCCCGTGATGATGATAGAGGAGGTCTACGTGCAATTAGAGATACTGACTCCATTGGAGCATCTTATGATCGTTATCTACGCAGCACGGTACTAGTTACTTTTTACATGTTTAGACTTCACTTCCATTGTTTTTATCCTGTCTATATACTCGTATTTGTGTTTTATGATTTTACCTAATGAACGAAAATATTATATTTAATTTAACAAACAAAAGCATTCTTCTAGCAATTGTCTTCATATGGTGGGGGACAATCAACTCGACCAATTAGCGGTGGAATTTCTAGTCGTTCAGTTGATGATCCACGTATCATGAGTGTTGGAGGTGTTGATCCACGGCCAATCGTAAAAGATAGGACCTTGGGTTTTGCGGGTGGAAGACCAGAGACTGCCCTTCCTCCAGATGCTAGTAGCACACTGTTTGTGGAGGGTTTGCCTTCTGATTGTTCACGTCGTGAAGTATCTCGTATCCTACTAGTGGTCACCATATTTAACATTTGTCTTCGCCCCTGCCCCCCCCCAATTTTTTACTTTGGGTTTTGTTTCTTAACCTGGGTGGATAGATATATTTCGTCCTTTTGTTGGCTACAAGGAAGTGAGACTTGTGAGTAAGGAATCAAGACATGTAAGTCCATTTGCTTGTTCATTCTTAAGGCATTAAAGTAGATAACTTAGTTCATTAAGGAAATCATTCTTTGTGCAGCCTGGGGGAGATCCATTGATACTTTGTTTTGTTGATTTTGCAACTCCTGCCCATGCAGCCACTGCTATGGATGCTTTACAAGGTCAGCTTGAAAACTTTTGGGTTTCTCTTGAAATTAGCCCATAAAAATGGTTATTTTTCTTAGATGCTGTCTATTTTGCAATTGTGAGGTTTCCGTCTTGGACATGCAAATGAACAAAACAGAAAAAGAGAAACATTCTTGTCCTAACCTTCACTAAATGAACCCTCAGATAACCTCCTTTCTATTGATCTTTTGCATCCCTATTCTTTACCGTGGGGGTTCAGATTTTATCTGAGATACTCCTGATAACTCTTATCTCCTGAAATTCTGTTGGGTATAATAGTAAAGATTTGATGCTTGGGGTGATACTGTGAATCTATTCTTTTTGAGGGGTGATGATACATAGGAGCAAGGATAGGATTTGATAAGATAGCACTGATCATGTTCAAGATGTCTTCTCTCAAGCATGGCAGCTGATGCTTGACTATCTGAAAATTTAATCTTATGTTCTTGATATCAAAGGGAAGAAAAGGTATTGATAATTTGATAATTTTAGTTACCTTTAATTTATAAATGTACTAATAAGACGTTACCAATATGGAAAGAGAGCCATATGCATATTCCTCTATAATTATCTATGCTCTTGTTGTTCCTTAATTCCAAAGATTTCTCACAACTCATCAGCACGTTGGGTTCAATAACTTGTATCTTGCGAGGATAGTATAATAGCCACCTTGATATCAGCAACAAAAGAGGTGAATGTAATTGCTGCTAACATACATTCTGCATGACAATTGCGCTTACAGGTGTTTCGAGGGGTTTCTTTCGGTTTATAATATGGTGTTCATATTGTTATTCTTCCCGTTTTTTGATACTTGAAATTAGAATCACCTGTAAAATCTTAGAGCAAGTAGTGCGAACTCACTTTCTGAGTCAGTTTGACCAGTAGGCTGCTTGGCTTGAACTCTTTAACCTCATCTCTTGATGCTTTGAGTTCAACCCATCAAATTGTCTGACTGCTAGACTGATTGGAACATGTACATGCGTCCCATCGACTATTTAATTGACTATTCTAGGTTGAGCTGTCATTTTTCTTCTTTGCCTAATCTTTTGCCATATCGAAGCCATAGGCTGTCTAACCCAAACCCCCTAAAAACATGGTCAGAAAGTTCCCCTTATCTCTGTGTGTTTGTTAGGCGTTAACTAAAAGGCCAGTTATGGGTCTTCTCTATTCATATTGTGGGGTGTGATTAACTGACACGGAATAAGCAGGTTAGTATTTTTATCGAATATGAAGCTTTATCAGGTGAGATTTTAGATTTGTGCACGACGTAAAGGCTATGAGTTCTGATGCCCTATTCATGCGTTCGCCATGTGGTAAGTTGTCCTGTATAAATAGTTAAGCTCGATTTTGCAGGTTATAGCTTTGATGAGCATGACCGTGATTCAGTTAAATTAAGGTTGCAATTTGCTCGCTACCCTGGTGCAAGAGGTGGCGGGCCTCGTGGCAAGCGTTAAATTATGCCGTTAGCAGGTGATTGATGCTTACTTTATTCCACTCGACGTTGTTTATTCATCCGCGTTAGGTGTTCTAAGAAAATTGTAAGACGATTCATGACGCTAAATCACGCAACGACACTTCTCTGTAGGATTTGCGCAAATTTGGGAGGTTATATGATAATGAGGGGCGATACAACAACATCGTCGTTGCGAGATGCTTTCATTTGAGTGAACCTTGAATTGTGTTTTCCAATTAATTATGACAGTTGCTTGATATTTCGAGAGTGTCACTTTTACGCTGGGAGTGTTGTGAACTGTATTTGCTTTAAATTAAACACTTTCTATATATGCATTGCACTTAATTATGCTAAACTCGTCTGTCAATTAATTATGAGTCATTATGTTGAAATACATGTTAGACAATGGATACTTAATTGAAGTGCATATCATTGAAAGAGACACAATTATCATCTCTGTGCCCATCTTGCCCACAATTTCTATTTTTCACGCCTATGATAGACATGTCCTTGATTCCTGAAAGTATAAAAATTAGAAGGGTATCTCTTATGTGTAATTGTTTTGACAATTTCTTGAAATTGCAGTGCAGTTGTGCACTTAGTAGCTCAGGACAGGTATTTGGGAGATGCAATTATGAAACTAGTGTCTATGAGCCTGGAGTTTTGAGTTATACGTATTGCCAGACTTTATTAACAACAGATATAGGTGAAAAGCCTTGAACTATTATTGTCTAGATTTTCATTTTCATTTTGTCTGTTGCAGCCTGGAGCAAATGTTCTTCACCTGTGTAGACAGATAATTTTCTAAAGCATATGGTAAACAATGAGGCTGTACATATAGGTTTTTATCTTTTGAGCATGATGCTGATCTTTTTTCTATAATGCATAAGATTTGTATGTGGGAAGGGTTTTGCCAGGTACCCTGTTAGGAAGGAAACACCACTCATCATATGAAGGCTGCTTCTCTCAATAAGGGGTACAATACAATGAAGCAAAAAACTACCATCCCATGCTTGTACTAAGTTTTGCAGTGGAAAAGTCTTCTAGTGAAGTTATGGTTTGACAACTGATTGGAACAAATTAGTTGAATTTGACATTCTGAAAATTATACTGGTTAATGCAAGTGTTTTACATGCTTTTTTACTACAAGAGATTGAGTTAATACTGTTAATCACATTGCTTGCCCATCTTTTTTCATGAATGTTTGGAATGCTAATTTACTTCTGGTAGTTTAGTAACTGCCCATCTTTTTTCATGAACGTTTGGAATGATTCCTTGGAGAGAGGTGTTTGATGAATCTGAACTTGGAAGGCATACTTCTTTGGACATTCATCCTGCACTCTTCAAAGATCCTTCTTGGTAATGTGAAGTTCCATGTTACCTCATCCTCGTGAAAGTTCGGAGTTTGGACAAGGAATGCTTCTTTTCTCTGCCTCGTGGCATGCATAACTCTAATCCTTGGTATGTGAAGAGTACGCCTGAGATATATATTACATGACATTGTAGTGGCCAATGGTAACTATTTTGATGAAGAGCTTGTTTTTGATATCGGAGCAACTGGTTTGACTTGCTTAAGGCCGATGAATCATATTAACTCTACTTTTAATTTGACGTCGTTGCATTGCACTCATATAATAGCTTTTCTCAAGCCATGAAAAATGAAAAAATAGCAATGAGCAACTGGCCTTCACAGAAGTGAGTTCCTTAGTCTCTCCCGTTTTGAGTCACCATTTATCAGTGATTATTCCTGGTAAAAGGTGGTTTTAAGAAAATATTTCCACCAAAAAAGAAAAAAATAATAGAAATAAAGACCATTTAGGGTTTCGAAAATAATTTCACGTGAGTCTAGAAATATTAATTAATCCCAAATTATAGTACTTAGTAGTTTTACCTTTAATTTCAAATTAATTACTCGTGCTCCAATCCCAAATTCTCCACATACAGCAAGCTTCTCTTAAAAGGATTGATTAATTAAATGAAACTACAACCTTGAGTAAATTATTTATTTATTTCCCAGTAAGCACAGCCCTCCAATCTTTTATGACAGGTTCTCAATACACAATCCAAGCAGCTACTGAATTTCATTAAGAACAATAAATAACCAGACTACAATATGAGAAATGCCTTGGACACATTGATCAAATCTTTAAATATAAAAGGTTTTTCACTTGTAGTAAAGATTCAAAACTATGTAACTCCCTTCCCCACCCTTTCTCCATAGGCTTAACAACTTACCCTTCTATGAAAAAAAACCAGACGATAACACAGCGCGCAATAGATCAGTAGCCACGCATAGAAATAGAACCAAAAAGATCAGTTGCGGCTAATTGTCTAGCTGTAGTAGCTGTAGGTAATAACTGATCATGCAAAATAAAACTTTTAGTGACATAGAATTTAAAAAAAAAAAAAATATTCTCTTTTTGGGTCTTCCAAAAACTAGAATTACGGATGAGTTAAGACGAAAGTGAGACCTGACTCGTTGGTTTAAGTGGAATTTGAATTTGAGTCTTGTGAATGAAGAAACAGACGTTGGGAGAGTTTCTTTCAAATGGGGTTCGACGTGATTCGATTTCGAATTAGTCGGGACCCAATGTGATTACCGGGAGGTTAGTATAAAAAAAAAAAAAAAGAGGAAAGTGAGAACGAGAAAGCCAAATAGAGGAAAGGGAGAAAGAGAAGAAAGAGGTACGTGGCCAGTGACAAGATATGGTGTTGGATTCATGTTGGAGATAATGAAAATTTTTAGATCTGGTTAGATTTATGCTGAAGATGGGAACTATGGGATAGGTTAGGATCTAAAAGCCCAGGTTTAATTACCACAGAAAAAGAAGTGGAACGCAACGCTTGAATTGAATCATCAACGATTCAAACCCCATGATATGCTCTAGTGAATCCACAAACATGCTGCCGAAAAAAATATTTGTTGGAAGAAAAACACGAGTAGGGATTAGAGATCAGCATTAAGTAATTTGAGTGTAAATTAATTTGAAATAAAGAGCAAAATGGGAATCAGAAAGTACTAATTTAGAATTATTTAGTATTTCAAGATTTATGGGGAAATATTTTTGAGACCACCCTCATTCGGAGTTGTTTAACCAGAGTTGATTTAGAATAATGTTTTCTTATAATGAAAATCTTACAATAATTATATCGATTTACTTGTTATGTTGGTTGAAAAGATAATTATTGATAATTAATATTTTAAGATTTTGGGGTGTTTGGATTAGTTATTTTGATACGTTGATAATTGATAATTGATACTCAATTGTGGATAATCATTGTTATTTTTAATTCAGAATATATAAACTATAGATTAAAAGCAATAGTTGATAATTGGTTTCCAAATCTTCAAAACAAACACCCACTTTATTGTAGTCAAATGTAGTATGTGAATCTTACCCCAAATGCATAGCCAACCAACCTTTAAGTGAAGAATTGATACAAAAGAATTACAGTTATCATACAGTATCATTGAATGAGTAATTATATATTTTTGGCTAATTATTATGATTAGAGTCTTGATCCGAGGGTGTGTTTGGTTTTATGCAAAGGGAAGGGAGGAGAAAAAATTCTTTTTATTTGATTACTAAAAAATTTAAAGTGGAGAAGAGGAAGGGAAGGGAGGGGAGAGATGGGAAATTCTTTACTTTATTTTTTTAATTTATTTATTTATCCAAATGCTGAAGAGGAAAATGAAATAATACAACATTTTTTTTTATTTTCTTCTATTTCTCTCAAATCAAATATACTTTCAAAGTTAGATTCATTAATAAGTCAGTATTACCTTATGGATTAGGTTAAAGATTTAGAGGTTAGGTTAAAGATTTAGGGCCTATTTGATTAAAGAATCAATTTTATTAAAGAAGATTTTATTGAAAAAGTAGTTGGAAAAGTACTGTATGAAATTAATAAGTTTTGTTATAAAATTTTAAGAGATTATTAATTTTTTGTGTTTGACAAAATATTTGCATAAGAAAATTGGTAAGAAAATATTTATCAAAAAAATATTAGTAGAAAAGTTGTTAAGTAAATTCTACGTAAGAAAAAAAAATTCTCATAAAAAATTTAAAAAAATTTAATAAATAGAGAATTATATAAAAAATAAAAATGTTATTTTAATATTAATAAATAACTTTACAAGGAAAAAGAAGTTTATATAAGTTTAAAGAGAAACTTCGCTGGCAACCAAACACCTTAAATCTTAGAGCCAGCATCCACTACTAAAAAAAGGCTATTTTTCAATGCATTTTATACTAAAAAATATTCAAAATGCGCTAAAAAATAAGAACTTTTTAATATTGTACACGGGAAAATGCTGATGAAAAAAAAGTGTGCCAATTTTTCAACGCAAAAAAATACACCGAAAAAACTTACTAATATTTTTTAACACTGAGTGCTAGAAATAATGGTTAACAACAAACTTATAATGTATTTCAAATTGTCATTATCACTTATTTTCAAGCGTTTAACATTGGAAAATAATTAACATTTTATAGGGATAGCCATTATTTTTTATATGTTAGAGGGATAGTCATTATTTTCTAGCACTAAATACTAAAAAATAATATCAAGAAAATTAAAAAAAAAATCATTTTTACATTAAGACAATTATATCCAATTAGTAAATATTTACAAATACAAAATAATATTTAATATAAATAAATTTAATCATAAAATAATATTGTATATATTAATCAAGATTATATATGCAAAAATCTAAAACACACACTAAATAAAAATACAACACATAGAATAATAAAAATTAAAGAAATTAAATATATGAAATGTTAACAATAAAACACCACTTTATAATATATTATAATTAATTATACATAAATAATTATATTTAATATATTTACTTTATAAATACAATATTATATAAAACATTACATATTACATATAATTTAATACATATTGCCAAATAAATGAAATTAAATACATAAATATACCTCAATTCCATGTAATTCATAAAAACACTTGAAATATATAAAAAAAATTTAATCAGTAATATATATGAGAGTTTATTGATAAAGAAAAATATAAATAAAATTAAAAATTAAACTATCAATAAATTGAAATGAACAATACCTCTTATTTCAAGTAACATATTAAAGGAAGAGGAAGAGGAGGAGGAAGAGGAATGGAGAGAATAAGAGAAAAGCAAGAAGGAAAGTAGAAGAAATGAAGATGAAATGGAAATGGAGAAGGAAGAGGAAAAGGGGAGAAGAGGAAAGGGAAGACTAAGACGAGAAAGTGAAATATATGAGTGGAGTAAAGGAAGAGAGGAGAAAAAAGAAAGTGAATTCAAATAAGGGATGAGAAAAATGAAAGAGAAGAAAGAAGAAGATGGGAGAAAATATTGAGGAAAGGAAGGTTGGAGGTTTATATAAATAAACATTATTATCCATGGCTTAGCGTTAAAAAATAGTGTGGGTGAGATTTTGAAAATTTTACAAAAAAAAAAGGGATGAGAAAAATGAAAGAGAAGAAAGAAGAAGATGGGAGAAAATATTGAGGAAGGGAAGGTTGGAGGTTTATATAAATAAACGTTATTATCCATGGCTTAGCGTTAAAAAATAGTGTAGGTGAGATTTTGAAAATTTTACAAAAAAAAAAAAATGATGCTTGAATGTTGGGCTTCAAATTTCAAATAAAATTATTTTCTAGTGCTAAGTGGTTGAAAAATAATATAGGTGGGATTTTGAATTTGTAAAAGAAAAGATACTTGAATATTTAATTCCTAAACTTCTTAATAAACTTATTTTCAAGTACCAAGTGCTAAAAAATAACCTAAATCAATTTAATAGGAGTATTTTCCAATGCTTAACGTTAGAAAATAATCTGAACAAATTGGACAAGAGTAATTTCCAACACTAAACATTAGAAACTAACCTGTATAACTGAGGCAAGGTTAGTATTGGAAAGTAGCCTGCACCCCATTTCTACCATATAACTTTAATGATTTTAACTTGAATCAATTAGATAGGAATATTTTCCAACGCCGAACACTAGAAAATAACCTATACAATTTATAACATATACAACATAGGTAGGGTTATTTTCCAGCACTTAACACTAAAAAATAACCCGCATCTTAAATTTACTGTTTAACTTTGATGATTCTAAACATTTTCTAATGTTTTGTACCAGAAAAAAAGGTGAAAAATATATATATTTTTTGTTTTTGAAAATTTAAAAAGACATTATTTTTTAGTATTGAACGCTGAAAAATAAGAAACTACCAAACCAAATTATGATGCTAATTGAGTGTTGGAAAGTAAGTCTCTTTTCAAAATTATTTGTAAATTTTAGATATTTTGCATCAAACTTTAATTTCTAGTCCAAATTGTGGTGGAAAATAATTGATTGAAAAGATCAAATTGTTAGCAGGGATCCTTCCATGCGATCGTATGCCGACGGCTATGATTATGATGACGACTCCTTACATTGCTGGATACCACAAAATTGGAATCCAGGTCAAGGAATTGGACTCAGAAACTATTTTTGTGTAATTATATTCTTGTTCTCTATTGTTTATTCTCTACATTGGACTTCTTACTTCGTTCTACACTGCAATATGGGTGATATTGATACATCTGAGACTCAAGCCATGGAAATGGAGGTTCCGGTGAAACAGGTGGAGATGACTGTGCCGAAAACCGACAACCCTACCATACCCGCTGTCACATTCCGGATGTGGATTCTGGGTCTGGCCGCCTGTGTCATCTTGTCATTTGTCAACCAGTTCTTCTGGTACAGGGCCAATCCCATGAGTATCTCAGACATCTCTGCCATGATTGCCGTCGTGCCCCTCGGCCATCTCATGGCCAAAACGCTACCGGCGCGGTATTTCTTTAAGGGTACCAGATGGGAGTTCACACTCAATCCGGGGCCCTTCAATATCAAAGAACATGTTTTGATCACCATCTTCGCCAACGCTGGCGCTGGAACTGTTTATGCAACTCATGTCTTGAGTGCAGTTAAGCTGTTCTATAAGCGGCCTCTTGGCTTTCTTCCTGCCCTGATCCTCATGACTACATCACAGGTATTGAGAAGGATTTTCTGCTATTTTTATTATAAAAATATAATAGTAGTTATAATCTCTCCTAAATAGTCCATTATCAGATGTATTATAAAAAAATATAGTTTATTTTCAACATCACTTTTAGCTGGGTTATGCAGAAGATACATGAATCTTAGAAAAACTCTTGGGAAATCTGTACACTTTTGTTATATAATGTAGATATTGGGGTTTGGGTGGGCTGGGATTTTCCGCAAGTATCTGGTGGAGCCAGGGGAGATGTGGTGGCCAAGTAATATGGTTGAGGTTTCATTGTTCAGGTATTTACTGATTTTTGAATTTGTATTCTATATTTTCTCATGAAGTTCACTCAATAAAATTTTTAAATTTTTTATATTAACTCCAGGGCTCTACATGAGAAGGAGAAGAGGCCAAAAGGAGGAATTACAGTGAACCAATTCTTCCTCATAGTCATTATTAGCAGCTTCGCCTACTACATTCTTCCCGGATATCTATTCACCGTGTTATCGACTTTCTCCTGGGTTTGCTGGCTGGCACCGAAATCCATCCAGGTCCAGCAACTCGGCTCAGGCTCGTGGGGCTTGGGAATTGGATCATTTGGGATTGAATGGTCTACAATCTCAGCTTACCTACACAGCCCTCTGGCTAGCCCGTGGTTTGCATCTGCCAACGTTGCTGCTGGATTCTTCATTGTGATGTACATAGTTACGCCCATTTCGTACTGGCTTGACATCTATAAGGCCAAGACTTTTCCCATTTTTTCCAGTGAACTTTTCAAGGGAAATGGTGAACCCTATGACATTTTGAGCATTGTTGATTCCAATTTTCATCTGGATAGAGATAACTACGGAAAGAATGGACCTTTGTATCTTAGCACATTCTTTGCTACTATGACTTACGGCCTGGGATTTGCAACGCTCAGTGCTACAATTGTCCATGTGCTTCTCTTCGATGGGAGGTAGTTCTCATTAACTAAATTTTGATGACTATTCCAGCTCCCATAAAAAACAAGTCATCCTATATTAAGATTCACAAGGAATTACCTTGTTTTGTTGTTAGATTAAAGGAACAAACTCTTTTGCCAATCAGACTAATGTCATCTTTTTTCTCATTTGCCTTTGCTTTGGCTTATGCAGGGAGATATGGAGGCAAAGCAAGGGAGCTTTTGGGGGAACGTCAAAGATGGATATCCATACAAAGCTAATGAAGAACTATAAACCAGTTCCTAACTGGTGGTTTCATCTCATCCTTGTGCTGAACCTTGCCCTTATAATATTTACCTGCGAGTATTACAATGAATCCCTTCAGCTGCCTTGGTGGGGTGTCTTGGCAGCTTGTGGTATTGCCATTCTCTTCACCCTCCCTATTGGTGTCATCACTGCTACCACAAATCAGGTAAAGTTTAGAATGCAAAAAAAACCCAAATTGATTTAGCATAGTTGTATTTTGATATTTAAAATTTTTAAGTTTGATATATGATCTTTCTCTTTTGAATGTGATATATATGTGAATCTACAGCAACCGGCTTTGAACATCATCACAGAATATGTGATTGGATATGTGTACCCAGAACGTCCTGTTGCTAATATGTGCTTCAAGGTTTATGGATGTATCAGCATGGCCCAAGCCCTGAGCTTCCTCGGTGACTTCAAGCTCGGCCACTACATGAAGGTCCCACCTAGGTCCATGTTCATGGCACAGGTTAGTTCTTTCTCCTAACGAAAAAAGACACTTACCAAGCGTTTTCAAGACAAAAATTTGAAAGAGTAGAAGTATCACGAATATATACTTACACGAGTAGGGTACAGGCTTAGTATACAAATTCTATATAACATAAATATCTCAACTTAAGCGCAATATAAAAATAAAGAAAAACTTAAAGAAAACCTGTTATTGTCGTTGCAAAGAACTCCAAAGTACTTCCGAGCTCGGATTTTCACTTCGGCCAACCTGCAAAGTCCCGACGTTGGTCCTCGGAGTAAACATTCTAATGCCTAAGTCAGCAATTATTAAAGCTACCAGATATGAAGTGAGAGTTAAGCTCGAGTTCGGTTTCAATTACCTTTTGAGGAGGATCCTTGGGGGGGTATTTATAGCCTTTAAAGTTGCGTCCATGTGTTGTTTTTTATGGGTAATTAAGATCATATGTGTCAATGATCACATAAAACTCTCTTGAAAGATCTGTGCATGTATGGAGTTACTATAGAACAGAAGCAAAGGGAACGAACTTGAACTCAATTGAACTCGTTGTTCTTTAATCAAGTCAAGGTGACTAGATTGTTGAGAATAACTCCAACTATCTGAGGTTATGTACCTTGAACTACTACAAAGTATGTGATTGATTACCAATGTACCTCTCATACCTCATGACCTCTGATTACCACCACTACAGTTATATACAAGAGTTATCTCAGTTTTTACCATTTGACTAAATGCATCATTGGTTATACTTACATATATAAAGAAGGCAATCCATGATCTTCTCATTTCATGTTTTTGT